AGGTGGACACAATATTTTTATTTTACATTTATGTGGTCTGAGGATCAAACTCAGTGTCTCATGCATGCTAGATGAGCACTCTACCACTGAGCCACAATCCCCAGCCCCCCTCTTTTTTGATATTGTAGGAAGCTAGTAAAGATATTTGTGCTTAAAATAGGCATGTGCAATCCTGAAAGGGAACATGAAAGTGTAATACCATAGCCCTAGATAAGCAGTTGTTATTATCTATTTGCATTCTTCATTGCATACTTTCAGAATGAAAGGTTGTTATCACAATGTAGCCAAGGCTGTCTTCCAGCCATGCTGAGTGTGATGGGAAATGGTAAGTTTGTATAGGTGTATGCCTCCATTTAGGAGGGAGGCTGAATAAGCACACACTGACTCTAAGACTCCAGACCACCAGACTGATTAGCAATGTTAAGGCATGCTGATGAATTAGAGTATCAAAGACCAAAAAATGCAATTAAGAAAACATGGTATGTAAGGTCCATTAAGATGAAGTAGTGGTGTGTGTGTGTGTGGTGACTGAGGAATTAAAATTCTTTATTTCTCCACAATCTCTCTGGAGGAAAATTTGACAATGCATTTAAAATCCAAGCCAAGTTCATGTCCATGATGCCCACTGATAATAGCTCACTGATGCTACTTTCAACTTAACCAATATATTTACTTTGCTTTGTACCATTGTGTATAAACTTTCCCTTAATTCAGAACATGTAAGTACTTCATTTGTATCTTATGATGGAAACTAAGGCCCTCGAAGATGTCAGATACTTTCAACACGGCCTCTGACCCATCCACAGAACTGGTTCTTAATAGTATCTTGAGTTTCAGAAGATTTCTTATCTTTCTATGTATTAACAAAATTCAAACTTGCATTTTTTATGTCTCTTTTTAACTGGAAAGATGGTGGAGATCACCCTTGGTACTGAGGACATTGAACATTATTGTTTAAATGCTGTCATTGACTAGGGATTAAAATATTGTGTTTTGGAGTATAAATTAAAGTATAACAGAACCCTAAGGTGGAGGGAGGGGGGAAAGAACCTGTTCAGGCTCTGTGTTTATGAGTAATTCAATGTCGGGGCAAATTAGAACCTGTTTATGAGGCTTTTCACATCCTGGGGGTGCTGAAGCCAATGGAAGAATGTAGCTGAGGAAAACAGTGGTGCGGAGCAGACCCGTGAACCATTCCAATCTACACAGTACAGGAGATAACTCTCCCGGGGATGTGGTAACTTTGCCTTGACTGCACAGATATTTTAGAAATAAAAGTCTCTAATCTTTCAGTCAATCAGGCAACTGAAGAGATTAAGCATCCAATTGACAATCCTGGACATTAGTAAGCATGAGGGTCTCTCTGGACAGCTAATCAAGAAGTGTAATAACAATTGGTTTAGACTTGCTACTGTCACTCTCCCACATGGATGAGAAACGGAAATCATTGTGGAAATTTGTGGGAAAGGAATGTGTGTGTCCCTATGTAATATAATAAGTAGGATGTAATGAAAGAATGAAATAGTGTGTCATATCACAAAGTGATGTGACAGCGTGGAATTAGGCTAGAAATCCAGAGATAATAGACCAACCTCGAACCCTGTGCCAGGGACAATGTCTGCAGCAAAGGAGAAGGAGCTGCACATTGAAAATAACACTTTTACTACACCTCAGATGGAGGCACACACTTTTTACATAGTTATTAGAAAATATGTTGTGCCAGGCCAGCCTCGGCCATTAAAAATGAAAGATCATACAGAATTCACAGGTATCTGTGCATTTAAGAGGCTCACTTTTCATAGCAGAGTCCTCTCAAAATTGTCATTCATTTACTCAGTATCATTTATTATGTTCTCAATAAGTCAGACATAGGTGCTTTTTGGTAGGTACGAGGGGTCAAGGTATAATATATGATCTAGAATACCAGAATTTAGTCTTTAGAATGGATGGCTATGCAGAAACTTACAAGATGGCACACAGGATCACCATGACTGTTTTATTTATTTGGTGAGTTCATCTTTAAAATTCAATATTTTAATCAAGAAATCATATGCCATTATTTTTAATCATAAGGAGTTCCAAAAGTAGCAGAATCACTCTGCAGAACCTTATTGCAGAGTCTGGAGAATTCAAGCTACTCCCAGAATATGATGTCTCATGCTTTACCTGTCTAATAATACCCTTGAATTTAATGCACTGGGGCCTCATCAAATTGACTAATGGGATTCAAGTTATTTCCAGGAAACACATCTCTTATTTGTCCTGGATAATACTAAAGGGTCTTACATTTGTAACCTGAACATGCTGCAAATGGCAATTTAAGTTTTGAAAAGAGTTTCACAATTGATATATTCAATCATCTCTCTCTTTCTCTCTCTCTCTCTCTCTCTCTATATATATATATATATATATATATATATAAAAAATTTGTATATATTTATATAGAGAGATTGATAATATAATACAGATACACACACATATATTTTAGAGTGGTTGTTCTCACTATTATCAAACACTTATGGAGGGCTTATAATGGCCCAGGCACTATTTCATACACTTTCCTCAAGTTAATTTTGTCCTTATAAAACCTACAAAGTAGGTTATTTTGTGGATGGGGAAGTTGAGGCAAGGGTTAAATAACTTACCAGGAATCACCTATGATGAAAGAAATCTGGATTAGTTTCAACCTACACAGTTGGAACTGACATCTGAGTTCTTAAGCAGTATTTTTCTACAATGTGCAGCACTTGTTCCCACCTGTGATGTTTAGTGCTGCGGCTTTCTTTCTTCATAACTGAATAATTGTTAACTGATGTTCAGCTAAGTGTGAACATCATATAGCTCCATAGGCTCTCACTTAGCTTGTCCATACCTGAGTTGCTTTAGCCTTCAGTTTACACCATTGCCAGCCTCCTATTCACTAAAGGGAAACCCCTTTTCTTCTTGGATCTGTCTTGTTCACGGCCTTGTCTCACAACAGAGCCACTTGGGATTCAGTGGCGTCACTGATGCATCATCTCCCTACGCAGGAGGAGAGAGGGAGGACCTGCAGGGGTGGGGGGCAATGTAGAAGCAGTTGACAAGCTCAGTCTTAATCTGAGCTCATTGTTACCTCCCTACTACTCTCACCTTGAAACCTTACTCAGAGTCTGGAGAATTCAAGCTACTCACAGAATATTGTCTCAAAGAATCATGTCTTTGTCTATTCCCCAACTGTGATTGCATTTTAAGTCGTTCTCCCTTGCCATAGGGCGCCAGGGCCCCTTTAAATCAGAGATGTAACTAGACCCAGAAGCGTTCTTAGGTATCTATGGTTCAGAAGACCTTTGAGGGAGAGAATTGTATGACTCTACACATTGTTTATGCAAGGCCTGGCATACCATAAATTATATACAGTTACTAAGGAAACCAATGGCCAAATATAAAAAAAAACACATGTATGAAGTAGGCATATATGTACCTTTTAATGAAGACATTAAATATTATTATATTGGAGTTAGCCTGAGAAAAACCTCAAAGTCATTATGAACATAATGTGTCAAAATGTACAAAAATTGAGAGGATATGAAAACTCTTTTATTTCTATGGTGGTAGTTATAGGAACTATTAGCACTACTCTGATTAGTTGCTTACATTCATAATTTGAGTGAACACTTAAACTCATTGAGCATTAAAGGTAAAGTATTTTACTAGTTAGTGAAGATGAGAAGGATATATTTTTCCATTGAAGTCACCATACTCTGAATTCTATCATGGGCTTCCTTTGGTAACACCCATTTAACTTTACCTCCCATATCATCTTTCTACTTGAGAGTGGACCTTGGTTCTCATATGGTTGTTTGACAGAAGCAACAGAAGTTTGTCAATAGATACAAGCAGACTTTAGTAGAAAATTCTTCATGTCTTGAAAAAGAGTTGATTAGAAAGGACAGCGAACAGGAATTTTAAAATTTTGGTTCTAGCTTCACTTCTGCTACTCACAATCTGGGTTAGTTTGGGCAATGAAATTTGCTTCCTAAGTCCCAGATCTCATCAGGAAAAAAAAAGGAAGTTGGACTTGCTGATCTCCAAGGAACTATTCTGATTTCACATTCTATTATTTCAAGAATCTTTTCTTTTACTTGGTTCCATGTCACCCATATTTATTTCTTTATGATATTAAACAAGAAGAGGGAAAAAAAAATGTCGTATCATTTGCCAAACTATTTCCCCAGGATATCCCTCACTTCAGAATTTACCTTTCTTTTTCCTGCAGGAATAAGAACATTAGCTGAAACAAATGTTCTTTTCCTTGAACGAAGACATTTGTCAGCTAAAGTAGACTTTGCACAACAGAGAAAAGCAGGCTTCGATGTAAAATAGGCTGTTTTCTTGGTTAGCTGATTTTTGCATTGCCTTTGTTGTTGGTTGTCTTTTTTATTGTTGGAATTTGAGGAGATTGTTTAGTCGTAGGCTAACTTCTATTGTGAAGATCTCGTCGGCGATATAACAACAACAATAATAGATTAAAATGGAAACGAGTCAAACAAAATTAGCTTGCTTGTTTACTTTTCATTTTAATCAAGACTAAGGAAATAATTCTGACTGATGCTCCAGCAATGAATGGTCCAAGTGGGAGCACTCAAGCCATCGGGAGACTGGGGAACTTCAACATGTTGAGACCCAAATAAGGCTCAGTGAGCAGGGTTTGGGGCTCCCCTTATCTTATGGCTTTTTTTTTTAAAAAAAGTATGAAACATTTTACCAGAATGAATACAAACGTGAAGTGCTTAGCTCAGTGCTTGGCACATACAGGTTGAGGGAGGGGGGCAGGAAGCTGGGAATCATACAGGATTTGCTAACTTCTATTTTTAGACCTCAAGGTGGCTTTCATGGGTTCCCTGGGAATGTAATAATTTAGTCCCCACAAAGACCTGGGCTGAGCCCCCATTAGTAAAAGTTGTTTCGAGGTATATTATTCACTCCCTCTCCAGAGAGTTTGCAAAGTCCACAGAAAAGTACATTCTGATTCATTTCTACTGATTTGAAATCTCCCTCTGAAGCTACTATCATCTCCCCATCTCTGATTTCCACGTTTCTTCGGGTCCTCTAACAAACCAATTCAAAGATTTGGTTTTAAGAATTTGTGTCTCTCTGCTGACGTTATCCTTCTTGTATAATCCTGCTCACCAGGTACTTGTGTAGAGCAGAAAGTTGATAAACATTTGTTGAAAAAAATAACTTGTAGTTTCTAGTCCAGGACATTCTGGTCTCTAGTCTGGCATGTGAGGAAGTTGTCACTCTATCCTAGAAATAAAGAAAAAAAGCAGAACAAACTAAAACTCAACAACTCTTTTTAGATCTGTCAGAGAAATGTCACAGGGAAAACCACTACCCACCTCTCCAACAGAGACAGGCACATACACATCATCAGGGTTTAGAGAGCAGAGACTCATAAGCAGAAAACCTCCTCATGGAGCAATACTGGGAGAGGGAAACCTGAACTGTAATTGATGAATTCCTGAAGCTTTAATGTAGATGAGTCTTGAGAGTTCAGAATGGGGACCAAGACAACCTACATGAATCTCACACTTTTGTGAGTTTTACCTCTATGAGTTCTATAGAGACTTTACAGAGAATATTGCAATAAAATCTCCTGCTTATGGCAGATAGAGGGAGAAAAGAGACAACTGAAATATGTCAGAATGTTCTCAATTAGGTCTGCTTCCCTAACTTAACTATCAGAGCCTAACTGACCCTGGGGGAGGAAAATCCTCTAGCCCTCTCTAGCTGTCCTGTGAGTGGAATTGAGAAGCACTTTTGAAGATCACAGCCCAAGGGTACAAGTTCACTTGCAGACTGAGACCTAATCACAGAACTAGATAACCATTCCTTTCTTTATGTTCCTTACTACCACCTCCTTAGGCCTATTTATTGGACTTTCTTAAAACAAACAAACAAAAAACAACTTAGTCTTTTATACCCACCTCTGAATAAAAATTTCAAGACATACTTAAAGGCCAAATACTGTTCAAAGACACAGAGGAAACATTAGAAGAACCATACTCAGATTATGCAGGGATGTTGGAATTCTGAGAATTTAGAACAACTATGATTCATATGCTAAGGGTTCTAATGGAAAAAGTAGTCAACATGCAAAAAATAAAAAAGAAGGATAGCAGACAGACACAAATTCTTAAAAAATTTTTTTAAAATAAAACATTTCAACACAAACAAAAGGCTTTGATGGGTTGTTTAGTAGACTAAAGGAAGCTGTGGAGAGAATCTCTGAACTTGAAGATATATCAATAGAAACTTCTCAAACTGAAAAACACAGAAAATGACTAGAAATAAAAAACAATGGATATTGAAGAATTGTGGGAAAACTACAAAAGGTGTAACTTACTTTTCATGGGAAGGTTAAAAGGAGAAGATGAGAAAATGGAACAGAGGAAACATTTGATACAATATTGCTAAGAATATAGAGATTTTTCCCAAAATAGTGTCACACCAAATTGCAGATCCAGGAACTCAAGGAAACCCAAGAAAGATCATGTCAAAGAAGGGCTTCCACTAGGCATATTCAGACTTCATAAATGAAAGACAAAGACTAAATTCCTGAAATAAGCCAGAGGAAGAAAAAAAAGCTTCCCTATAAAAAAGCAAAGATATAAAATCCAATTTCTCCTTGGAAACCATGCAAGCAAGAAGGGAATGAAGTTAAGTATTCAAAGTGTAGAGAGAATATAAATATATAAATAAACTTCCTGAATGTACTATTCAAGTGTATGCTATCTTGGATTTTATGGTGGAGGTTAGTTTTACACAGTGATAAGGACTCTGGACCTGGTCAGAAATAGATTTTAAATCTGCCTTTGTGGTAGATAGATGAGTAAAAAAATTCCCCTAGTTGTTCATGCACTTGTAGATCTGAAACTTTTACAATATGGTTTTGCAGTCCTTCCCACCTATTTTTCAACCCCCGGATCTGAGTGGGTATTGGGATATGTTTTTCACCAGTGGAAAGTGTTAGAAAGTATGGCAGCCAGTTCTGACCATAGTTCTCAGGAGGTCTTGCATGTTTTTGTGTGCTCTCTAAGGATCCTTTCTCTGCCATGTAAAAAAGAACTGAGGCAGCTCAGCTATTCCAGTTATGCCCTAGAAATGAGATAACTCAATCAAGACCAGCAAACTTGCCTCCTTGACCCCACACTGACCTCAGATAGCATGAAGGATCCAAGAAGACCAAAGGAACTGCCCATACAATTACAACCAAAGTATTGATCTGAAGAATGTGAGCTAAACAAATTTTGGTTGTTTTAGCATATAAGTTTTGTTATGCAGCGTTACTTTGGTAACAGATATGTGATGCAGTCCTTACGTTTTACCAATTGTTTCCTAGGGCAACATATATCCCATGAACTCTAAATTTCTTTCTCTCTTAATTGGCATTAATACTAATACCTAATTCATAGGTTACATAAAAGAATGTATATTCATGGCACAGAGGAGGATATCAGTTAGTTATTACTATTCTCTCTTAGCATGGTTGGACGCTTATCAATGAGGCATCTCTGAGAGACCTTTTGCTTTTCCTGATGATGTGGTTCTTGGCTTTCTTTTGTGGTATAAATAAATGGCAACAAATAAAACCCAAACTTCAGCCTTACTAGAACATGTTGTAGGTAATAGTCAGAAACTCTCAGATCAGATCGTCAGGGTTCAAATTCATTTTTTAAAAAATTTTTATTGTTGGTTGTTCAAAACATTACATAGCTCTTGACATATCATATTTCACACTTTGATTCAAGTGCTGGAGGGTTCAAATTCTTGCTCTGCTGTTTCCAACAGTGTGGACTTGGGTAACTTAATTTTCCTGTGCTTTAGTTTCTTTATTTGCAAAACAGGCTGGCAGTAATATGAACCTGGTTTAGTTGTGGTCAAGATGAAGGGATATACGTTTAATGTGCTTAGAGCAATGCTTGGTACATAGTAAGTGTTCAGAAGCACTTGGTAATTGATATGCACTATTTTTATAATTGTTAAGATTAGAGCATCTCCTGAGTTGAATCCCAGGCTTGCACCATGTAAATTCTGCAAGAGCTTCTAAACGAAACAGAGAAGTATCCAGCCACTTCCAAGTAGCCCACAGGTCAGTGGCCATGAGCTAGGGTTTAGCCATCTGGCAGGCAGCTGGCAGATGCTCTGGGTCTTTATGTACTGCCACCGTGAACAGCTGATCCAGAAATGACACATCCAAAAGATTCTGAAAGGAGCCAGGAAATGCCAAGTGGGGACAGTCCATTGCACTGAGCAAATGGCCCTGGTTGATGTGGATGGAGGTTTGGGTTCAGAACAACAAACTAAAGAAAAAAAAATAGCAATAAAAAAAAAAAACTGACCAAATACAGAAACAACAGCAAAACCAGGACTAGACTAACTAAAGAGTTTAGCTGAGTTGGAGGGTTTAAACTAATAATTTGGGCAGTTACAATGTCTGAAAAATCCACTACTGAATCTTTAAAAGGAGACCCTCTATATTTGTTTGTAAGAAAAGCAAGGAAGGAATTCTGTATGGTTAAAAATAGTGGACCCTCAAGTCTGACAGAACTGGGTTTCTTTCTCATAAGGTAGCTGTGTGAACTTGGACAAGTTTCTTCCTCTCTCTCAGTTTCATTTTTTCCTCATTTGTAAAGCTGTAATTCCTCTCTCATAGACCCTCAGCTGTGAAATGCTTAAGTGTCTGGCACCTGTAAGAAGTTTCAAATGGCGTGTGATACTGTTTTTATTGTCAATGAAATACCACGTGCCAAAACTTTTTTTACTGCCACCATCTCCCCCTTGAGTTCCCGTTTTCTGTTGCCTCGTTTGCCTGGAAGAACTTTGCCGCAGGAACTTTTGACACCCACCCCTTTAGGTATCCGGCTAATGACTTTAAAATCACACAGCTCATGGATTGCCTCCTGGACTGACTTTGACATTGGGTATCTGCATCACTCCCTGGCTTGTTCAAGGTTTTAATTCCATTATGCTTTACCCCGTGTCAGTACACCAAAGATCAAAGAAAGCAGTGAGACCTAAGGAATCATCTAAGGATTGGCGACAGCGCAGGAAGGTCCTGGAGGTCAGGGAGGCAGAAAGTGAGGTGCTAATTGTGACGAGGTTTAAGTGCTTATCCAAAATGTGTAAGAAACATTTGCTGTAGGTGTTTGATCCCGTGAGCTTGGCTATGTCAGATCCAGATGAGCTTTTTAAATTAGAGACAGAATTTAGGGTTACTTTATGTTTGGCGACTTCCTCAATCATTTTCTCTACTACTTTTTTCAAGTTGATTATGACTATTTGAAAAAATTAAGGGCAAGTGAGGACAAAGGTGATCTCCACTCTGGAGGATGATAATATAAGGAAATACATTTTTTTCTACGTATCTGATGTTGTTTTTGTTCCTCTTCTCTTTCATTTTTCTACCTTCATTACTTTTGAAAGCAGATTTTAGAGTTTGAGTAAATGGCACCACGTTTTTCAGGTTCAGTCTTATCAGCTACAGTTTCCTTCACCTGGTTGGAGGTGGCACACAGTCTCTGCAGAATTGCTTAAGAGTCTTGATAGATCAATAAAAAGTCTGTCTCAAAAACCAAGAAAGGAGTATCTGGATGACACTGAGCCAAAATGCCCCCCTTTCTATAGAAAGGTAGAATTCCTACCAGGTGCACCCTCATCATTCTTCAGGTGAAAATCTTTGTTCAAAATCAAAGATTATGGCCTTCAGATTTTGGAACTCTGATGGCCAACTAAAATGTAATGAAGCTCATAAACACAAAAATGGATGGGACTGGGGCTGAGATTGTGGCCCAGTGGTAGAGCGCTTACCTAGCCTATTTGGTGGTACTGGATTTGATCCTGAGCACCATATAATAAATGAAATAAATTATTGAATCCATATACAACTAAAAGTATTTTTTAAAATGAATGTATTAGCTATAAGGTGTACTTTTATTTCCATTTCAAGTACACATTTCTTCTCTGATTGTCTAATAGTAGTGTCTTCACTGCAAGGTCTGGAGATCTATATATTTTGTGTTCCTTTCTGGAGTATATCTCTTGGAATTTTGCCTTTCTGAGAACTTGGGAAATCAAGAAATTGTGTTCCTTATGGTATTCATTGATGAGTGCAAAGTAATTAATGATGTGCCTGTGCTTTGTACTAATATGCATCGTTTCCTTGCTTTTAGCAGAGAGCTGGTTTTGATAGCATATGCAAATCCCCAGATAGGCCACAGTGATGCAATAGTATCAAATGACAAGGCTGAGAGTGTGCCTACAGAATAAACCAATGTGGTCACCTGCCCTTTGTTATTGGACTGTATTCTTCACCACCTTCTGCTCAGGACCCTCTAAAGTATAGACGTAGGTTGAGACATCTACATGTTTTTTTCTTAGGGGATAAGTACGTAGCCTCTTTGTGGTTCAGTTTCTTCATCTATTAAATGGGACTATCAGAGGATAGTTTTGAAAAGAAAATCTAAAAATCTGTGTGAAGACTTGGGTATATGTGAAATACCTACTCAATAATATCTATTACTACTATTATAAATCAACCTGGTAGGCAACTGATATATAATTAAAAAGTGATTGGTTTTTGTTAGGGATGCAGTGTAAAGCCTTATGGCAGACTGGAATTCTACAACTCAGCTAGAGGTTGAGTTGTTACTAGTGGGACAAGTGAAGGAAACTTAAAAAAAAAATCGGAGGGAAATACTAGCTTTTTGAGATATTTCTGGATAATTCAGATTAACTATTCCATTGTAAATATGTTGTGAAAGTCTGCTCATAAAAACTGCAGGTTTTATCTCTCTGAAAGCACAATTTTAGTTCTCTGAGCTCAATTTCATAGTAATGACTAAATTGGTGACATTCTAATTCTCTACATTTTTAGTCTGGGTGGATTTGTCCTAGGATAATTTTAGATGTTTAGCTTGAAAAGGTAGCCAGGACATAGGCTGTTATAATCACAACATTGTTGTGTGTTGGTTCACAGAATCCACTAATATCATTATTCCATAACTGATTTGTCTTAGGAAGT